CTCAGACCCGCGTCGCCCCATCTTTCCTTGGCCGGGACCCACGATCGCTTGGTGAAGCTGCAATTGATTTTCTCTCAGAGCTCTCCAGATTTTCAGACGTGCGGCTTTGGGGGGTTTCTCAGCCGGAGGCTTTTCATTGGCCCTTTTCATCTTAGCCGTTCTTAGGGATTTATTTGCCAAATATACATAGTTTTGTTTCTGCCGCTCACTGAAGCCCCCCAGAGCAGAAATTCTGCCTTTTGATGTTTTGAAAAATGCCTAGGAATTTTGGAGAGCGCTATCCCTCCCAACTGAAGGGGGTTTATGTGACGTAGTAACTTTGGGGAAGTGAATTCTACCCCCCCCAGGCCCCCCTACCTGCCTGATCCCCTCTCAGGGGGCCTGGCATGGGCCCCAGGCCACCCCTGCCTCCCACGCTCCTCGCTCCCGTCCCCCGCCTCCTGGCATTGGCGGTCCTCCATCTCCCCGCTCCCTGGCGCTGGGCCTGCTGTCCAGGCCACTGTTGCTCCCTTCCCTCTGCTCCTGCCCAGCCCGAGGCCACACACTCCAGTGCCTCTCCCAGGGGTTTCTGAGTTTTTAAAATACAGGGTGTCCCCAAAAACATGTATACACGCTTTAACAGCTGACAGCTCAATTGATAATTCTTTTCAGCCGGACTAAGCCCTGAACAAAGTAAATTCACCCTAAAATGCCTACTGGAAGTTTGAAAACGCAGTTGAAGTACAAACACTGCCTTTAAGATTATTCAAAGTGTGTATACTTTTTTTTTGGGGGGGGGGAGACGCTTTAACACCCGATAACTCACTTAATTTTCACTTCTTCTCAGGTTTAACTGATTTGAAATGATAGGTGAAGCCAGGCTAAGCTCTGAACGAAGAAAATTTATCCACTAGACTTTTTTTTTAATGGGGGTACATAAAAAGATAAAATTCACAGTAGAAAACAGGCAACAGTCGAGGGGGGGGGTCCTAGTTATGGAAGGAACAGGCTCGGGAGCTGGAGCCAAGAGGACTATTTCCCCACCTTTCTTAGGGGGGTTTTAACATGAACACATGTAAGTTTGTGTGCAGTGTGCTGATGAGGCACATGTATGCGTCGCAGAATCGTTACAGTAAGGGCCGTGGACACCTTCCCCGCCCATCAGCACGGTGGTTTTGTGTGGGGGGCGGTAACATTAAAGATCCACCGTCTCAGCAGCGTTTAAGTACCCAGGGTGGTTGCCCGGCCGGGCGTGGCTCAGCGATTGAGCATCGACCTAGGATCCAGGAGATCGGGGTTCGATTCCCGGTCAGGGCACAGGCCCGGGTTGCGGGCTCCAGCCGACCAATGACTCTCATCATTGATGTTTCTATCTCTCTCTCTCCCTCTCCCTTCCTCTCTCTGAAATCAATAAAAGATACATTAAAAAAATAATAAGTACCCAGTGTTGTTGATACAGTCACCGGGCTGTGTGTTAGGTCCCAGATATTTCATGCTATAGGTGGGAGTTTGTGCCCTTTCACCACCATCTCCCTGTTTCCCCGAGCCCCTGGCGGCCACCATCCTGTTTCTGTGAATTCGGCTTTTTGGGTTTCACATGTCAAGTGAGAACGTAACGGTATTTGTTTTCCTGTCCGATCGCTTAGTAAAGCTGCCGTTGATTTTAGTCTGATGCCCAAGAGGGCTTATGGCTGCTCGGGGTTCAGGCGGTGCGAGGGGAGAGAACCAGGAGCGACTGCTTTGGTTCCTGGCATGAGCAGTTTGGAGACTGGGGGTGTCACGGACCAAAATATGGGAGCCTGGGAGGTGGAGCGGGGGTGTGGGAGGAGATGAGCTAATAGTGGAGCTGTGGAGAAGACAGGCAGGCCCGCAGCCTCAGGGCCCAGGCGACTCTGGGCCGGTAACATGAACTCGGAACCACCCGGTGTGTGGGTGGCCCAGGAAGCCAGTTGTCTGGGTGACGTGCCAGGGGCCAGCATTTCAAGGTCCAGTAGAAGAGAGGTCAGCGGGCGTGTGGCATCCGAGTGGCCCAGGGCGGGAAGCAATGTCAGACGACTCCGGGACGGTCAGGCAGCCCGGGGACAGGGAACCTCGCTGGCTGAGATGATGTCATTGGCGGCTTTGCTGGGCGCTCTTCGGGAGCATGACTGGGGCACCGGCTCAGCTGGAGCGGGTTGCAGGTGGCCAGTTGGTGGGGACGCTGAGAGCTGGGAATGTCCGCGAGCCCCGTGTCAAGTATGTGACCTTAGATGGCTGACTCGACTTCTCCAAGTCTCTTTCCGCACCTGCCCGGTGGTGACGATATTACGAGGTGTGAGATATTGTTGAGACCAGCCACCGCCCCAGCACAGCCTCTGCCGGGCCTCTGGGTGTCCGCTGAGTGCTGATTTCTCCCCTTCTCTGTCCTCGAGGAGCTTCGGGTCCCCAAGCTTTGCCCACCTCTCAGCCCTTGGGTCCCTCCACTTCTCCCCCTCCCCTCACTGCCTCTGTCCAGGTCCCCTCTGTGGCTAGAACCCCCAAGGGACCCCTCTTCTCCTGTCCCTGTGCACCCCAGTTTGGCCCTGCCATGCACTCGGCCACCAGATTAGCCTCCAGAAGGACTGGAGCCTCGAGAGGGCCTGGCTCCTGCGAGTCCTCAGG